GTCCACAAGGTCGTCGTGTTCAAGTTTTCTGTTCTTGTCTGATTCTCGTGTTTGCATTAGCTAAGTACTGAGCGCCCGCATGGGCAGACCCCCTCCCCCCCCCGAAGGTTGCACATAATTCGGCGGCGCGCTAGTTGAGGATACACGCGCTGGCTTGGTAGGCGGGATTGGCCCGTGGCTCGGCGATTCCCTGACGCAAATCACAACTAGGCGACCAGAATGGTGCATCCTACTCAGAGTCTCCTTAACGCTCTAAAAGTTATGGTTGAAAAGGCTGGCGTCTGACAAGATAATCCCTTTCCTCCTTTGACCAGACTGCATTTGCTCATTCTTACAGTTCCCCTTATGAGTATTGCTTTTGCGCAATCTGAGACTCCCTATCTCTTTTCTTGAAGCCACATTCCTATTGATTTTGGGGCTTGGTCATGCGTTGCATGCATCAATAAGACGCTGAGTTCCGCTAATAATCGTACGTACACCTATCTGTATTTCCCTTGGCTTCGTTTTACCCTTACAACACCATGGTTGTGGGAAGGAAGATTAAAGGGAATTTAGCACAAATTACCATTGCATACTTTTCGGCGATAATGGTTATGTTGTCGGACCCTCAAAATCGGATGTTCAAGAAGGAGGAGTAGGTGTCCCTTTTATGAGTTGGCAGCCGCACCGAGTTGGTACATTCCTCCCCTCCCCCCCCGCCTCTCCCCTGTGACTGCAGGAAACCCTTCAGTGCAGCGACTGACGTGTTAAGTCCAGTATCGATAGCAAGTCTGTCTTTCCGGTGTTGTTGCGGCCTAAAGCCAGTCGTCCTTATCTGAGTTTGCCATCGAAGTTGCAGTGACGTTGATGCTGGGAAGTTTTCTCTTGCAAATCATAGCCCCTCCTATAGTCACCAAAAGGAGTGACCAAGCACCATCCGACCTCAAGTGGCATATGGTACCCAATGTAAATATAGGTACAAAGGCTACTGTTGGTCGGTTGTGTTTTATTCAAACTGTGTTGAGTTAGATTGCTGGATTGCGCTGTGGTGTGCCTGTGAATGCAGTATATAAAGTAGAAATACACCACCAACAAAGACCGGGGAGACTGTAATGGCTTTTTCTGGCTTATTAGCTGTCACCAGTCGGTCATACACAACCTCAAGGGTGGCCGGGGGTAGGAACCTCTACGTGCCTATTCCTGGTGTTGGGTATGACTGGCTAATTACGGCTAATAAGATAGAAATGGTCATTTCGGTCTCCCTTGTCGCTGTGCGGCTGTTGGAGCGGCTCGATAATGAGCC